ATAGAGCTCTTTCTGCTCTACAAAACTGTGTTAATCGTTTTTTTCAGTAGATTCATTCGTCATTACTATTGAGGCTCAGAAATGGAAATCAAGAAGGTAAAAAGCAGCATTTTCGACACCTGCCCTTCTTCGCTCTCCATCGCGGCCAAAAAGTTGTGAAAAGTTGTGAAAAGTTGCTGAAAAAGGCCGGGATATTTGCAATGTATACGGAGAAAGTGTCATAGCTGAGTCGACAGCACGGAAATGGTTTGCAAAATTCAACGTAAGGTTGGGCAAGAAGTTCGTAGCGTTCACTTTGTGAGGTACCCAGGCCCACAATTTTTGGACAAATCCCATTGAATGGAGATGATTGAGAATAGTTTTGTGGTCACAGTTCATTTTTTCGACCAATTCACAACTAGTTTGAGGACCATCCTGCTTCACAAGAGCTCGGAGACGCTTTTCGTCGAACTCAGAAGGTCTTCCGCTGCGGGGCGGGTTTTCGACGTTAAAATCGTCATTTTTAAATTTTGCAAACCATTTCTGTGCTGTCGACTCACCTATGACACCTTCTCCGTATACATTGCAAATATCCCGGGCTGCTTCAGCAGCTTTTTGCCCGCGATGGACAGCGAAGAAGAGCAGGTGTCGAAAGTGCTAATTTTTACCTCCTGGATATTCCATTTCTGAGCCTCAATAATAATAACGAATGAAACTACTGAAAAAAACGATTAAGACAGTTTTGTAGAGCAGAAAGAGCTCTATCGAATGAATATTATAACCCCTTGCAAATTGCAAAATGTCTCTGTAAAAAAAAGAAAATGTCAAAACGCTACGAACTTATTCCCCAACCTAATAATTCAATTTATAGTCGCATTAATTGCAACTACTTCCACGAAAAAATGCAACTTCTCACGCTGCACGCAATCCTTCATCCTGCTGCTTACGAAAATCGAACGTTAAACCCAGCACCCGCAGCTTCTCGATTTTCCCGATTGCTAGGGGCATTGATTTATCGCGGCAATCTTCCTAAAGCGAAACGTGGTTTCCATTGCTCGCGAAGTAAACCGGCATTTCGCAGCCGCGAGATCAGTAACGAAGAATAATTGAAATGGCAGTAGGTGCGACCGGAGTATTGGAACACAAAACGTGTTTCTCTTTTATTCACTGTACACTCTTATTCATAAGTCAGGAAACACTATTTTTAACTAAATCTGTATTACTCGTGAACTATTGCTGACAATTTCCTATTTTCTGTTATATCCACGCGTGGCGTTGCTATAAGGTGCATTTCTATGCTTTTATCAACGTCTTTTTATGGGTTGAGTTATTACGAGCTGACATTGTTTCGCGTGGTATTTCCATGCGTCGTAACTCCATGCGTAGATATTTCCATGCGTTGTAATTCCACGCGTAGATATTTCCATGCGTCGTAATTCCGTGCGTGGGTATCGCTACGCACTGTATTTCCACTCGTCGTAATTCCAAGCGTTGTATTTTCACGCGTGATGTACCCACGCGCCGTAATTCCACGCGTGGTATTCTCACGCGTGTTATTCCCATGCGTGATATTTCCACGCGTTGTAATTCCACGCGTGGGTACCGCTATGCGCTGTATTTCCTCGTGTGGTATTCTCACGCGTGTTATTCCCATGCGTGATATTTTCACGCGTGGAATTTCCATGCGTCGTAATTCCAAGCGTAGATATTTCCATGCGTGGGTATCGCTACACGTTGTATTTCCACGCGTCGTAATTCCACACGTAGATATTTCCATGTGTCGTAATTTCACGCGTGGATATCGCTACGCGTTGTATTTCCACGCGTAGTATTCTTATCCACGATATTTCCACGCGTGGTATTCCTACTTGTGATATTTCCATGCGCTGTAATTCCACGCGTTGTACCTCCACACATGGGTACTCCTACATGTGATAGTTCCTCACGATGTAATTTCACGCGTATATCTCTACTATTTTCATCTGTATCTATTCCAAAATCCTTAGAAATCGCCACATGTGTATATCGTTCCGCATTATATCATAACCCGCGAAACCAATAATAATGGCCACGTGCAACATTACCTCTCAAGAATCCCCTCCTATCACCATGTATAATAACTTCCTGAAGAATCCGAGATCGCAGAGAGTAGCAATTTAATACCCGCAAGTATTTAACAACCGCAATTTAAATTTAAAATTAAAACTACAAAATGTTCCATGATTTATGGAGGTGGTTGTACGCGAGACAACGAAATCCCCTGTGGTATATCTCGCTTCCTAACGATTTTTCGATATCTCTAAGCGTTTTTATTCGTCCGAACACTGCGAACGATGCACCGAGGATAACGCATATAGATACCCCCAGTGAGTTTTATTCCTGTCGAACGATACCGTACTCCGGCAAGAAATTTATGAAAACATTCATGAAGTCGTTGTCTACACGGCGAAGCACGGAAACAAAACAAGACAGGATCCATTCGTGACAACAACACGGCTTAACGTCCTAATCCTTCGATACGAAAGGAAGCCTCTTCAGTTACCTTGCGCTAGGACATTCGGGAACACGTGTTTCAACGACAGGACCGTTTTCGTCCGCTATTCGTTTCACGATCGGGTTGTTCTGTGCTTTTCGTTGTTTATTTCAACGCGTTTGTTATCGTCGCATTTCGCTGTTCGGATCGTCGTTACGACGTGCGTCGCGTAAAACTTGATTGCTCAACTCCGTTTACGTTTCTCTCTTTTACGCGATGATAAAGTGCGGTTTATTCTTGGTGACCGGTCAGCGGCTATCTTGTTCGAGCTCGTTCGGCGTCAAGAAGATGGACGTTCATACTAAATTGTTTATCAACTTTAACAGGTAACTCTTTTAATTACTGTATGAAAGAATATTTTATATGCAGAGTATAATTGTGGTGTGCTGTATGTTTGGACAAATATATGACTAGGTTATTATGCAGAATAATTAATTTAATTTAAGTTTGTTTACTATTGGTACACATTTCAGTACCATTGCTATAAGCAATTGCTATAAGCTGCAAAATTTATACATATAAATATTTTTTATATTGATGTTATTATTTAAGTAATATGTTCAACTTGATCACAGTAGTATTTAGAATGAAATTGAAATTCATTTCTATGCTATAACGAGATATAGACTAGGTTCTTATATTTATACCAGTTATATTTTTCATAAAAAATTTTGTCAGAAGAAGCTGTAATAAAAATTGCACACAGCACAGTATACTTTTGTACGTATAATTACTCAAACGTTCTTTAACAATTGTATTATATCATCTATATAAAAATGATTAAAAACATCCGTGAAATTACATAATGTAATTAAAGATTCGGTTCACTTTCCACCCCAAATTCGCAAACCCTGGTACATTCTGATTAACAGCGCGTCGGTAGCGAAAGCTTTTTAAAACGATCAATCGACGGCGATTAATCGCGACATAATTCCATCAATTTCCCATCCAAGGTGGGACGTGCGTTAATTCGCAGCGAAACGTGTAACACGGTCTCGCGCGTTGATCCCCCTTTGACGCTCGGCTCTCCGCGAATCGATGAGCGTTGCGAAGCATACGTGACGAGCGGAAAGCGGCGTGTAACGCGGAACACAACGGAAATTCTATAACTGCTACGCGAATAATCGTACGCAAAGGAACAAGAATAATTTTATATTCGATCGTTGGACATGGATATTCGTCGACAATATTCACCCCCTAAAGAATCTAACATTTTAAATCTAACGCTTCGAAAATATAAGGGCTTTGTTTGGAAAATCTTGTTGACGCGTGGAATTACAACGCGTAGCGATACCCACACGTGGAATTACGATGTAGGGAAATATCTGCGCGTGGAATTACGATGCATGGAAATATCTACGCGTGGAATTACGACGCATGGAAATACCACGGCGTGGAATTACGAAACAAGGAAATATCTACGCGTGGAATTACGAAACAAGGAAATATCTACGCGTGGAATTACGAAACAAGGAAATATCTACGCGTGGAATTACGAAACAAGGAAATATCTACGCGTGGAATTACGAAACAAGGAAATATCTACGCGTGGAATTACGAAACAAGGAAATATCTACGCGTGGAATTACGAAACAAGGAAATATCTACGCGTGGAATTACGAAACAAGGAAATATCTACGCGTGGAATTACGAAACAAGGAAATATCTACGCGTGGAATTACGAAACAAGGAAATATCTACGCGTGGAATTACGAAACAAGGAAATATCTACGCGTGGAATTACGAAACAAGGAAATATCTACGCGTGGAATTACGAAGCATGGAAATATCTATGCGCGGAATTACGATGCATGGAAATACAACGCGTAGCGATACCCACGCGTGGATTTACGACGTATGGAAATTTTTATGCGTGGAATTACGACGCAAGGAAATATCTACGCGTGGAATTACGAAACAAGGAAATATCTACGCGTGGAATTACGACGCATGGAAATACCACGCGTGGAAATACAACGCGTAGTGATACCCACGCGTGGAATTACAACGCATAGATATATCTACGTGTGGAATTACGGTGCATGAAAATACCACGCGTGGAATACAACGTATAGCAGTACCTGCACATAGAAATACAACGCATGGAGATACAACATGAAATCATGTCTACACACGTCGTAATCTACGCGAAACAATGTCGAAAATCAGGTTAACAAATGACAATTGTTAATTTGTGAACGTAGATTAAATTTTGTGTGAGCTTAGATTTAATTTTTTAGCAGCATCGATCCAATTATGAACCACATCCAATTTCGTACGAGTCTAAATTAAATTTTGTGCGAAGCTAGATTCAGTTTCAGTCTAAATGCAATTTTGTATGACCCAGTTAATCAATGAGAATTTTTAAGAAGTCGAGTACTGTCGAATTTTTTCCAATGAAAGAAATGCTTCATCGGAAATTTCCGAAGCTAACAATTATCAAAATTCCGGAACGCTTCGTTAAGAGAACGTGGAGAACTCGATGTCAGCTTCATTACGAAGAGAAATGGTCGGAAAGATTTAACATCGAGCTCGTCTTAAATCGAGAAGGACCCTGGACAAATCAGATCCTCGTTGTCGTCCTCGTCATTCGCCGGCTCTTCCCTTCCGTTTACGCGTCGACGAAGAGGAGGCTTGACATTAATAGTCTCGCGGCGGATAAGCCGTTTTTGAAATGACGTTCGAAGGGAATAATACATGGAGGGTCACTTCTCGAACTCCACCCCAACGGACGTCCCTTTTCAAATAACGCATTCGAAGTCCTTTCCTTTTCGGCTAAGTGAAGGACCTTTCAGCGACTCTTCCACCCTTGCTGATCGTCTCACACTTTCCTATGTCTATCTTATGTCTGTGTGTGAGGATGTTGCTGGACTTCATGTACTGGGTGCTCTGCAAATCAAGGTTTGATTATTTGTTAGGGAGAGAATATTTGTTGGGGAATTATTTGGAGTATGGAAGTTTTGGTATTTGGGATTTTAGAGATACGGGAGTTAGGGGTTTAAGAAATTTTTTAGGTGGAAGTTTTAGGGTATGCAAGTTTGGGATGTGAGAATTTGAAGATTTAGGGATGATATTAGTATTGAGATATTGGGATATAGTGATGTGGGGGTGTAGAGGGAATTTGGAAGTTTTAGGACATGAAAAGGGGATTTGAGAATTTGGAGGTTTAGGGATAACATTATTATTGAGGGATATTGGGATATGGTGATGTAGGGGTGCAAAGGAAGTTTGGAAATTTTAGGACATGGAAATTTGGGGATGTGAGAATTTGAAGATTTAGAAATAACATTATTATTGAAAGATACTGGGAGCTAGTCATATAAGGTTATAGAGTAAATTTAGAAATTTGAGGATACAATCTGGGTATTTGAAATTGTAAAAATTCAAAAACTTGGAAACATACATATTTTGAAATACAGAAACTTGAAATAGAAATTTACAAGTACAGACTTGCCTTTCCAAAGAGAACCTGACGAGGTATAATTGAAACAAAGGTAAAAGAACGTCGGAATTTTAGCAATAGCCATATTCCGCCACAGTTTTAAAACAGGAGAATGTTCCATAATTTTTCCTCGGTCAAAGAACCGGTGGGTCCTGTAGTCAGACCACCAGTTTGGTGAAAGTTTCCGAACCACCTAACGATTCTGCGAAGACGGTGTTCGCTTGGTGGTAGGCCTCATATAGGGACCCCTCTTCCAAAAATCCCTGAGCTCAAATTGCTTGCAACAAAGATTTAATTGGGGCAATTAACGGAGGTAGTCAAGAGTGGGGTGACGAGAACGGGAGCGACAGGAAGGCGGTGTAAGAGAAGGGTTGCCGAGAGTGCGGCGATCTAAACGAGAAGAATCAGTACCTCGATATACAGTGTGTTTCGATAATACCAATTCGTAGAAATTTTATTTTTCTACTAAATTATACGGGAATGAAAGAATTTTTCAGTGCATGGAAGTGTCGGAATTATTTACATGCAAAATATCTCGATTGACAAAATTCAATTAGCAGGTCCTTTGAAAGCTCGTTCTAATTAAAAAATTGATTGACACGAGTTTTTAACGCGGCGTCAAAAGGTTTCGTTTTATAAACATCAAAGGGATGTTTAATATCGCTACCCTTTGTAACGCGATACTCAAACGATGGCTGTCATGGGATAGTTACAATTTGGTCGGCGCGGAACTGTAACACGAGTTGCAATTTTGCAATTATTTTGTCTGTAATTTCTGTAATTCGGATAATTCATTGAATAATTGGGATGTTATTGAACTGTTTTTTAATAAGACAGTTAGGTTAGTTTCTTTTTTATAAACTTCCTTGTTAGACGTCTTTTAGGTTAGTTTCTGAAGAGCACTGGACTGTTTTTTAATAGCGAAGACATATTAGGTTAGTTTCTTTTTTAGAAGCTTCCTTGTTAGATGTCTTTTAGGTTAGTTTTTGAAAAGCAATGGACTGTTTTTTAACCGCGAAGATATTTTAGGTTAGTTTCTTTTTTATAAACTTCCTTGTTAGACGTCTTTTAGGTTAGTTTCTGACAAGCAATGGACTGTTTTTCAAAAACGAAGACATTTTAGGTTAGTTTTCTTTTCTAACCTTCCTTGTCAGAAGTCTTTTAGGTTAGTTTCTGAAGAGCAATAAATAGGTCCATCGTAATAAAGGAAATATGTATAATCACATGGGTTCTTGATTATAAAAGAACATTTATTAAAAAACAATGTATTCAAAATATAACATAACTTTATTTAAAATTTTTAATTTTATTAAAACAATATAGGTATTAAATTTTCAACGAGAGTTCAATTAATATTCTATTACCTACCCAATTATTTTTCACCCGTTTACACAAAGAATTACGTTACTTCAAAAAAGGAATTACAATGCAACTTACAATAACAATAAACTTTGAATGTTACTGTTTCTACAGGATTCTATTGAAAAGAAAGCTTGATTAACGACGGCGGTTTTTATTCTCGGCAACCACCTTTTTGCGTATCGTGTACTAACAAAGCACCGTAATAACGTTATCGCGAAAAAAATTACAATGCATCGAGCAACAATAACTGGTGAACTTTCAAAGTTTTACATTGCCGTTTCTTCGGTATTCCATTGAAAACGAAGTTTGATTAACAACAACATCGAGGTAGAAAATCGTCGCGTCATATATTTACAGGGCAGTTACAGGGTAGAAAACAAATTCGATAGAAGGAAATTGAAACAAAAGGGTAGGTGAGCGACGTTCATTTTCAGCGAACGAAATTTATATCGGTATAGGAAATGACATTCGTTTTCATGACGATCTATCTTCGCAGCTACTTTCATCGTGTTCCGATCAATC